TGGCTGCCAGCAGCCAGAAGGCCAGCAAGCCTATGCTGCCCACCTCTCCCAACCTGCAGAAACTGATCCCCCCCATGGCAGAGCCCACGGTTGGGGAGCCCAAGCGGGCAGAGAAGCAAAACTCTGGCAGCAGCCAGGACCAGGCTCCCCCAAGCGACCAAGTGGCAAAGAAAACGCCCATTAAAAAGCCTCCCAGAAAGAAAAGTCGAGAAGCTACCCTGGAGCAGCCCAAAGCAGCCGTAGTCCCGCCGGAACAGGAGAAAAGGGGGGCCCGGGGGGGGGGGGGGGGGCCCGGCCGGGCGCTGGCCTGCCGTGCATCAGACATTTTGGCAGGAGGAAGGAAGTTTGCAGGCACACCCGATGGAAATGGAGGCCTGAACTGGGCAGGGGGCACTGGAAGAGGCTCTGAGCTGTCTCTTTCCTTCTTTCTCTCTCATTCCCCTGTTCTTTTTTTCATCTCTCCCCTGCTCTGGGACCTGGTACTCCCCATCCATCAGAGATGCCCTCCCCATGGCTGTGCCCTGCTCCCCGCTTCTCCTCTGCACGGTTCTGGCAGCTCACCTTCCCTGCAAGAAGGACCTCACAGAGCCATCCCGCTGTGGCCCAGCAGTACCGCCCTGGCCAAAAACCTTGGGCCATGCGCAGCTCTGACCCACTGGTCACCCCTTTTGTAGCAGTATTATCAATTGCATAAGCAGTGCTTGTTGTACTAGCCGTACCCGTGTTATATTCTGCAGTAACGGAGTCACTTGCTTCCTGCCTCCTAGTCTGGTCTATCAAGTTTTCATTGCATGGGAAGTGGCAGCTGGAGGGCAGGCTCACTGCTCAGCCTACGAGGAGGCAAGCCAGGCCATCCCTGCACCTGTGCCCACATCTTCACCAGTGGCAGCGCCTTGCCCCTGCACCAGCGCAGCATGCGGAGCAGCATGCCGCAGGGCGGTTGCACTCTCCTAGTGCTGCGCGGTGCCCCGGCTCCATGCATGTCTCTTGCCATTTCAGCTTTTCCCCTCCTGGAGATGTAGCTGCCCCAGGCGCCACTGTCCCTCCACAGCCACGCTGCCCCAGTCAGCGTGAGGTCGAGCTGGTTTCGACTGATGGCCCCTCCGCAGCTGAGTCTGTTTCTGCCAGGAGTGGCTGGGAGGAAAGCACTATTTATGGCCTGAGTCTGGACGCTGTTCAGAGAGGCTGTCCTGGCTACGGGGGTCCCATCCAGCGGAGTTGGACGGATTAGTTTGGTACGACAGAGCCTGGCATCTCTGCAGAAAGCTTTCCTAATAAAAGTGTATTTCTCCTGTATCCAGGTGCTGTCTGTCCATGTCACAGCTCCTGCCAGGCTGCCCTTGGACAGGCAACATGCTGGGAATCGCCTGTCCTTGCTTTGGTACTCAGCAGCATGAATCCCCTGTGGGCCCAAGCTTTCCTGGGGGAGCAGGGAGGGAGATGGCAAAGTCTTGTTTCAGCACAGGCCTTTCTTTGTGCTCCTGGTGTAGGTGGGCGTGGGTGAGCCCACCCCTAGCACCACTGTAGGGGCATTTACTAGCTGCACTTCCCTCCCCAGAAATGATGATGGTGCTGTAATGCACCAGCCCTAAAGCCACTAGGACAAGGATTGCAAAGGCACCTGTGCTGTCAGGCACCTCCGCACAGCAGTAGCGATGTGATGCTGTCAGATATGTAGGCCTGGGGTAGAGGAGGCTGGTCAAACACAGCCCTGCTGTATTTGCTCTTATGCGTTGTCCTTTGCTGGGGATGTGGCTTTACACCTGGCAGCAGAGACCAGCCTTGGTGGGAAGATTAGGAGCACTGCTCCCCCCAGCATTGCAGCATCTCCTCCCCAGCCAGGCAAGAGCCCTGGTGGAAACAGGGATGTGGGGTGCTCCTGGTCAGACGTTCTCCAGCATAGTCAGGATTTGATGCTTTGGCCACTGAGGAGAAGGTAGTCACAGTCCTTGGCCAGGTGCTCTGGGGAGCCTGAGCCATAAAGGCATGAAAAGATCTATCCCGTCTTCAGGCAAGGAAAGGGCAGGAGGGCCTAGGACCACATCCTAATGGCATATAGCTCCAAGAATCCCTAGGATAAGCATTCCCACTCTAGGGACCTAGCGGGGATGGTGGTCCAAGGGGGCTCCAGAGCAAAGGCAGTGCTCTACTGACCGGGGAGGGAGGCTGATCCTGGATTACAGGGGTCTGACCTCAGCTTTCCAAGGCCCTGCCTTGACCACTGAGCCATCCTGCTGCTACCAGCACCCACCAAGCATGCCAGCCTGTGGCACACCTTGGCCATGCTACCTGGCACACTAGCAAGGTCTACCATGCTGCTGTGTCTTGTGAGCTCCTCTCTCCAGAGAGCGGAGACAGCGGGGTGCTGGGGTGATGGAGCACTGCAGCACGGCATGACTGGGCATACCACATACCCTCCTTGCCAACTGCAAGTCATGCACATTTCAGCCATCCGCATGGCCGCAGCAACCAGCACTTCCAAGAATGGCCCCCTCAGAGAGTGGCTCTGTGCCCACTGGTACTGGCTGCCCTCACAAGGGCTGAGGTAGTCTCAAGGTGCTGTGCTGCTGCCCGAGCCATTGTCTGGCTAGATCACAGACACTGGGACAAGCCCAAATGGAAAGTGTGCTTCCTCGCACACAGGCTCTACCTGGGATTCCCAAGCAGTCCTGCCTCCTCTCTGCCTGCACTTCACCTGCACACTACCTGCACTCTGCCTGCACTTCACCTGCACACTGCCTGCACTTTGTACTCTAGCTGCGCACAATGTATGTTTTGCTTGCACGCTACCTGCACACTACCTGCATGCTTCCTTCACTCTGCCCGCATTCCGTCTGCACTTTGCCTGCACTTTACCTACACATTACATGCACACTACCTACATGCAGCCTGTGCTCTCTTTCACTGCCTGGACCCGTGGTGGGGCATCATCAGTGCTCCTTGGCCTTCTCCCAGAAGATTTTAAGGCCAGCAAAGCCCTCCCATCTTGGAGCTGTAGGGGGGGGTGGGGGTTCCTTCTGTTGGGGCAGTGAGGCTGGGGTCCCTTTCAGGGGCCCCCCTGAAGGCCCCCTTCCTCAGTGCTGCAAATGCAGCTGCTTCAGCAAGGGAGGCTTTGGGTCCTGCTGATGCTGACTGGGGCTTCAGAGGCATGCTGCTTCTCGCCTGCCAACAGCTCCAAGCCTGTGAGGCTCCTTCAGCCTCATTTGGAGCCTCCTTCAGCATACCAGGCTGGCAGCACTTCCCATACTGGTGCTCCAGCTGGCTTTTCCTTGAAGATCCTGTGGCCGGAGCCATGGGGTGGGGGGAAGGGGGTCCCTGATGCCATAAGAAATAAAAGCAGTTTTGGGGGACAAGGAAACGTGGTCCCCACAAGTTCAGCAAAAGGGGGATGTGCATCTCCAGCCTCCTGGGCTCCCCTCAGGCCTGTGCAAGTGGCTAAACAAGGTGAGCTGAGGAACAGGGTTTTCTCCTTGAAGCTCCTCAGCTCCGGGGCATGGGAGTGAACATCAAGGCTTTGGCATGGCTGTGCGCACTGTGAGGAAGCCTCAGCCAGCATCCAGGCATGGAATTGCTCCTGAGTTCTGGCCATGGCAGCCTCAAGGCAGGAATGGCACCAGCACCATATCAAGGCAGCTGTGGCTTTGTCTACCCAAGTCTTGGAAGCCTCCAAGTATGGAGAGCCCCCAACTCCGTGGTGCCAGTCCCAAGGAACTAGCCTGAACTAAGCTGCAATTTGTGGCTCTCATCATATCATATGGCACCACTGAGAAGGATTTGATGCCATCATCTTTGCAACTGCCCCTCCAGCAGTTGTTGGCTGCTATTAGACCCCCTTTACCTCCTCTTGGACAGACCAAACTAGCCCAGCTCCCTCCATCTCTCCTTGTGAGACATGCTCTAGATCCATGACCAGGTTGGTAACCCTACTCTGGACCTCTCCAGTTTCTTCACATCCCTCTTGAACCAGAAGTTCTACATCCAGACACTACTGAGATGCAGCAGTCAGTGAAGGAGGTAGCAGCCTTCAGTCTGCTGCTCATGCTCTTCCTAACATAGCCCACTATATGTTTTGCCTTATTCATGATGAGAGGAACTGCAAGCTAATGTTCAACCTGACATCTACCTCCATGTCCTTTACTGCTGGGTCTGTCCAGTGCAGACAGGTCAGATGCATCCCAAGGAAATCTGTGATGCCCCAGGACATGAAGGCTAGTACCAGTGTAATGAATGAGGCATTGTCACACCACAGCATTAGGAAGGACCGTTCTTTCCTCATAATGTGACTGTGAATCTCTTTTCCAAGTCTGCTGCCAGGGGCCTGCAGGCTTTCCTCCCCCAGCTGCACTTTGGTTTATCTTTAACAGACAATGCCATGTAATAGACACAGTGCATGAATTTAATGTTATGGCTTTCAACCTCTGTTGATTCGTGGACCCCCAAACAATTTCCCCTGCCACTGAGAACCCCACTAAAAAATTCACACATAGCATAAATAAACTTGCTTTTCTTAGTCACTTTTCACTGAGCTCTTAGCCAGCTGTGTTAGATCACAGGAGGATATCCTAATGTGGACAGGTCTTCCTCTCCCCTGAGATGGACTGGAAGGCCTCTTCTGAAGCCACCTTCCCTGAAAGATGAGTCAGGGATTGGTTTCAGCAGCAACACAAAGGCTTATGTAAGTACATTGCATGGCTTCTCTCCAACTGAAGATTTAGTGGATCAGGCTGGAGGGAATTTCAGTGATAGAGAAGAACGTGCCCAGCTGCCACCAGCCCTTCTTTTCCATGCCCCACTCACTGGTCCAGGGACCAGGTGCCACTTCTGTCCTGAATGGCGTTGGTGCTCCACAGGCCAAACAAGTGGTAGCGCTAGATAAGGAGAGGCTGGGCTAG